CCCTAACCCTAACCCTAACCCTAACCCTAACCCTAACCCTAACCCTAACCCTAACCCTAACCCTAACCCTAACCCTAACCCTAACCCTAACCCTATTATCTTATAATATATAAATTATTCTCTTTATTTATAATATATATTTTCACTATAATCTTTACTATAGTGTCGCTATATTTTTTACTTATTAACGGTGCGATATTAATATAATTTATTAGCTATATATTTAAAATCTTCTTAAAAGTATACCCTATGAATAAATGAGTTATCGTTAGATAGATGAGTGATATACGTAATTATATTCTACGTAACTATCTAACTTTTCATCTCTTTCGCTAGCTCGTCTATAACGTTATATTTTCTCTTAAGATATTTACGTAGATATATACCGAGTGTATAGTGACTTTAGTACTTAGTGTAGAGAATTACTCTATACTATATAAGTACGCATAGCTAGCGAATTAGCGATGTGAGCGATGTATTCGGAGTAATTTATCTAGCCGGTAGAGATCTTTCACTCATTACCGATCTTCGTCGAAGCGATAATAACTTTAAATTCCGCCTAGATAGAGGGAAAAATATACACTTTAAACTATAGCTATAAAAACGATGAAAACTAATGTGGTGATGGCGAAATAACGAAGTGTAGTATTAAGTACTCGATAGAAAAGTAAGATAGGAATGACTAAGTAAATTTTATTAGCGTACGGTGCACCCGTATACGGAAGACCCTAGGGCAACGCTAAGACCGTATTTCTATATGTACGGGTCACCCGTATATACCAGAATAATGATAGAAGTAATCGCACGACTTATCTTATATAGTCTAAACTTAGTTTTAGACGGTATAATTCTAATTTAAACTAATTCTCTTTTAACGATAAAAAGTACTAAGTATATACTTATGTAATTAGCTTCTTTATACTATAAATTTCGTTTAATCGTTAAAAGAAACGATTTATAGTAGTAGATAATAAAATAAAGAATAAAAAATTAATAATATTATTTTTTAAACTTATTAAAGAATAACTTTAATTATAATAAAGATTAACTAAGATATAGAATATTAATATCGTAAATTACGATAACTTTAATTACTTTAAAAAATAATTAAGATTAATTTAATTAATTTAAGTTTAAATTTTAATTAATTAAAATAAGAGTTTTAATCGATTCTAATAAAAGAGAGTAAAATATTTAAATAAAAATAAAATATAAGAAAAAGTTAATAAAAAGAGAGAGATAATAATAAAAGTATAACGAAAGAAAACTATTTAAAGAGAAATATAATAATTTATTACGATATAGAATTAACGATCGTATTATTAACTTTAGATAAATTTATAAGAATCTAATTTATATTATATTATATCGTTAATATATATATAATTAGTTTAATCTTAATGTAATCTAACGTATAGAATAACGGTGAATTATATTATCGCGCTATAACGCGAGATATTAGTCTATTTAGCTAATATATTATTCTTCGTCGCGCGTAGCGAAGAAATATAGACTTCTAATGGTCCGTATACATCTCGGCGAGAAATCACTGTGGACGCTCGCCTAGTGATTAATAAAGTGGATCCATTATAGACGCGAGCGTCGAGAGAATATTGGATCCATTTTATGCTTCACGGTGCGTTCAACGAGGCCGTGGCTCCGGTCCGGGGACGACGGATGAAGACGGTCTACCAATAATCATATCTAGAAAGATAAAGTCGTGAAGAAGTATAATCCCCGTGGAACTCGGTTACGCTGGCTCACCCGGCCGAATGTCGATTCTCTTTTAGTCACTGGAGGTGAATTCATGAAAGACGTGGATGCGAGTCCATCCGCTAGACTCGGTTCTCGAGCTTAAGCTTATTTCTCCATGCTTAGTGAGGAGCTCTTAGAAGGCTCTATGTAAAACCGAAGGACACTCTATCTCCAGCGCCTCCCCCCCTTCCCATAATTCAATGCGATCTGCAGCTCTACCTCCTAACCTCCTAAGGTGTGAAGAAGATATTTATGCGCCGTATGCTGAAGCGGAATAATAGGTCTGTGCTCTGCTACCACTGCCACCGGGGAAGACCCACATCGCCGACGCCATAAATCTCGGGCCGTAGGAGCTCGATGATTGTCGACTCTAACTCGGCTCGAGGAAACACCGCCCATAACTACTCCGTAAATGGATCCTCTAAGTTCTCCGGACGAACTATCGACCGATCATCGCCTTAGTCCAACTCCATCTGATCCAACTTCATCCCTATATCCTCGGGACCCACGACGGTGGTCTCGGGCGAACTGAAACCGACATCATCTCCTTCCTCTGTGATTTCAGTCTCTTCCATGGAAGAATCTCGTTGAGTATCATTAGCCGAACGGAGATCGTCACCTTTCATATGAATGTCACCCTCGGCCGGTGAAGATTCTCGGGGCGCATCGTTGGCCGGACCGACATCATCACCATCTATGCTCCTCTCGCCCTCGACCGGTGAAGGATCTCGGGGGGCATCGTTGGCCGAACCGACATCACCACCAGCCTTCGCTTTAGCGCGGACGAGGGGGAGATAGGGGTCTTCGTACCCGAAGTTATAACAGGGGACGAGGGCCACCCGGGTGATGGCCTCACCATCTTCGGGGCTTACCCATGTATCGATGTTAGGGTCGTACAGGAAAGGGCTGTTCGGATCCATGAGGTAACCGGTCTCGGGACAAAAAACCCAGGTTGACTTAGGATCGATCTCATTATCCGTTGCGGTCTGGTAGAACTTCTGGGTCTCGGGGTCATACCGCGCAGTCACTTCGTCCCAGTTAAGGGTGGTACCGCGCCGCAATAACTCATCGGCCGAATCGGGGTCACTGATGAATAAAGTCGGCCCGTCTTTATGCTTAGTGGGTGTCTGAGGCGGAGGAGCACGATCTATATGAGAAGAGTTAGAGTTAGTATGGTGAGGGGAGAGAGGAGGGAGAGTCTATGGAATGGATCCAACGGGGGAAGGAAAGGAATGCATCCATTCCATGAACCACGATGACTGAACTTACCAGGGAGACTGATGATGGGATTGCGCTTCCGGGCGGTGAAGTGGGTCGATACGATGTCCGAGGCTTAGTGCCGTCTGGAAGGGGTTCGAGCGAATACACCATCGATCCTCTTGAGTGGAATTTCTAACGTCTTGTTGCGCCAGTCAAGACGAGAACAACGCTGCCCCAAGAGTTTTCGAATATACTCCTCGGCTTGCTGAATGTAGCTGGAGTCCCGAATGTCTTTGATTAATTTATGGGCATCGTGCCCGGACAGGTTCTTGGTGGCCAGTAGCATGCGCTCGCGGGCTTCTGCATCGACCACCCGATTCTCCATATGCGCCTCCCCGGCGAGTTGGCCCAGCATCTTGGCTGTCGCGTTGGAATACAACCACTGATCGTACGTACCGAGGACACACACGGTCCACACGTACTGAACATGCTCCTGGCCGAGCCGATGGATCCGGCCGATCATTTGGACCACCGTGTTGATGTTGTCGGGCATATCGAAGATGACCAACTTGTGACAGGCCCCTTGGATGTTGAGCCCCAGGGCGGACGAACGGCTGTTCAGCAGGAGGAAAAGGACGGGGTCGGTGGGATCGTTCCATTTGGCGAGAATGGAGCTCCGCTCCGCGGCTATGGTGTCGGGCCAGATGACATAGTAGCCGACTCCCAGGTTGTACAGGAAGGCATCGGGACCCCACTGTGTATGAGGCCAGTTGACCATGAAAACCGTTTTACCCTTGAAGTTGCCATTTTCGTCTCCGAACATGGACATGTGGACATGCTTAGCCAAATATCGGAGCTTGACAGACTCCCCGGCGTGATATGCGCAGGCCCCGAGGCGGTCTAGGTAATTCGGGAGGGAGGGGCTGGGTCGCGTGGCGTAGAAATAGTCGCTAAACCCATGGTCGTCGGCGTTGTCAGTCCACTCCCGGGCCTGGGCGGCCCCTTGTCCCTTTCGCCGCAAGAGCAAGGTGTTAAACCGAATATCAAAGGTGGCCAAACACAAATGACGATGGATTGCCATGTCACGCAAACCCCCGGCGCTGATGGTGGGTTTCTTGGTGGGTTTGCCGGTCTCACTGCCCCCTTTGACCAGGTGTTTCGAGAAGGTCGACCAGATCTTCACGAATTCACTGGCCTCCCACCGGGATGGCCGGAGTTCCACACCGGCGATGTGAAAAATGGGGACATTGACGCCGGGCAGATAGTACTCGCTGTTGTCCAACCAGATCTGCGATGCCATGGTCCAGCGAAGTTGAATCCGGGACAAAATAGGGCGAAGAACGAGGCTGGTAGTGGTGGCACTGTCGAGCTTACCCCGATTGATGAGCGCAGCGAAGGTGCGGGGATTGAATAGGAACAGCGGCCAGTCCTTGTACTTCTTCTGGTACTTCTCACACTGGGTCATCCATTGTAGCAGTGTGGACTGGCGATACACCATTTCCGGATCGGAGGGGAGCACAAAGGCGTCCAGACTGTCGAGGTTAGACTCCCATTGTGGTTGCCAAAAGAGATAGAGGTATCCCAATAAATCTAAGATTCGGTTCATCATAGGAGTGGCGGTAACCACCCACTTCTTCGGGGCATATAGCTTGTCAATGGCGATCGAATTGAGGGTTCTGCAATTCTTAAGCCGATGACCCTCGTCACAAATCACACGGTGGAATAACCCCGCGAACCGGGAAGTGAAAACAGTGTAGTCTTCGTTCTCAGCCATATCATCATCATTAGGCTTATCAAACTCGAGCGCGCTCTGTTGCTTGGCTTCGAGTTCTTAGGTGAGTTTGCGAATCTTGCGAAGATCCTGTTCTTTGAGCTCGACTTCCTTGAGGGTCGGGAGAAAGGCTAGGCGCTGCGCATCAGTGACATCGTTAACATCGCCGGGCATGGTGGCGATAGAGTCTTCATCTGTAGGGGAGAGGATGTGAGTAGGTGGTCTATGGAATGGATCCAATGGAGAAGAGACAGTCAATGGATCCATGCGATGGACCACAATGACACGGAGGTGCTGGGGAATCCGGGGGTGAAGGGGGGAGTCTTAGGAAGAGGAATGCTTACCTTTCTCAGGTTGACCGGCGGCGGCACGAAACTTGTCCTCCATCGACTTCTTACAGCTGGTCAAGGTGCGCTGTGCATAGGTTTCGTATGCACACCAGACAACGCCAAACGCGGACATTGGGTCATTAGGCGGGAAAGCTCTCTCGATTTCTCGTCGGGCGAGCTTACCATCGGACGGAAGCATGATCTGTCGTAGAGTCTCATCCACATTCGTGCTCAATGTACGGTCGGTGCCATAGAAGATGCGCAAGTTCAAAAGGCCCTTCCCTTCTTTCGCACTGCACCAGTGCTTCAGCCATTCAATGTACCAACTGTCCAGTGCGGTGGGCGGGGCGACAACAAATGTGGGACGAAAGTCCAATTTGGGGGCGGGTGGCTCGGGTTGACCTGCTGTCTTGGCCTCCTCACAGTGATTCAGGTGCTGTTGCCAGATGCGGAGCTTCATCATGGCCGCATGGTAGATAAGACAGTAGCACTGGGACGTTTTACCAAGGCCACAGTCCGCCGCCAGAATCCCACCTCCCAGAGGTGAGTCCTCCATCTGCATCTGCCAGGCCGTCCCAATGACCTGGTGGTGTTTCGGAACGAACTTGGCCGGATCATCTTTGTGTTGTGGGTGGACGTAGATGCCCGGTCCAAGGTTGTTATAGTCCTCACTGATGCCCAGGAGCCGTGCGGCAGTTCGGTATCCAGGGGCTGGTGCCGACACCACGGCGATTTTGGCCCGGAGGTCCCAGAATTCGTCCTCGATCCGCTGGATGGAGCGCTTCATGGGACTTTGGTACTCCTCTGGAAGGACCCGCTCAGCCATGGAGGTATTCTCACTCAAATGGGCGGCATCGCCCACTTAGCTGGTGGAAAATGCATCGTGGGCAATGTGGCAATGATCGATTAAGGTCTGAAGGAAGACTTTCAGGGTATCTTCGTCAATGGGCGCACGTACGTTGGCGCCGGTGGGAGATTTGGACTTAGGCTACCGAAGACAACCATGGTTAGCAGGGCCGGTGAGCCAGTGAGGAGGAAGGGGACGTGGATTGGATCCAACGGGAGAATGGCTCTGGATGAGCGAGGTGGTCTATAGAATGGATCCAGTGGGCGGGAGACTTAGTGGATCCATTCTATAGACCGTTCGTGGAAGATGTAGCCAGGGGAGAGGGGAGAGGATCCATTCTAGAGACCGCGCTGGGAGTTGACTTACCTTCTTAGAGAGCTTCTTGGTCATGTCAGTGAGCAGGTCATCATCGGCCACCAGCTTATCTAAAGTATCCTCGGTGATCTTCATATCGGCTATGTTTAGGCGTTCAGTCGCATCTAGGCTATCTAAGTCCTGGTCCCGCCATAAGATAGCCATCTCGGACTTAAGGTTCTGGATGTCCAGTTCTTTTCCAGAGGACAATGGGTCACTCTGGAGCAGTTGAACCTCTCGCTCGGTGAGGTAGCGGACAGGGGCAGGTTTCTTCCTGCCGAACTTAGGGAAGGCCTGCTTTTCATAGCAGGTGATGGCATACCGCAGCAGGGAGAAGGCGCGATGAAAGTCATTGGCAGTGGCCAGACCCCAGCGCACTTGTCCGGGCTGCTCCTTCTCGAAGGATTCGGGAAAGTAGGCTCGGAATCTTTTGATGATTTTGTAGGTTTGGGCGACGTACGCCACTTTGGGAAAGGTCTGTTTATTGGTTCGGGGGGCGCCACGGAACTTCTCAAAGCATGGGTCATTGTCAAAGTCTAGTTGGTCTCGGGTTGACACTTCAGCGAGCTTCTGCCAGGAGGCGTGAGCTTTGTCGCCCTTGGAGATTTCCTTCACGATGTGGTCGAAGGAAAATGTCGAGTTTGCCTTGACTTCCGGTACACCAAAGCCCTGCTTCTTGAGAGTGATGAAGTGTGTCACAGTTGCTTTCATCTGCTGGAGGAGCAGTAGGAGTTCGTGGGTGTCGCTCAGCTTAAGGTACCCAGCCAGGAAGCTCTGGTTGCGCTGCATAGTGCGGTCGGGCTCGATGCAGGTGTACCCGCAGAAGTGTTTGGCCAGGTCGCGCACGAGCTTATCGCGGTCTTCAAAGGGGAAGTCATCCTCGCCCTTAGCGTCTTGCAATGCCTTCTGTTTACACCGCTATCGAGCGACAGCCTTGGAGATAGTGTCCACCGGGCCAGTCCGATCCTCGGTTTCCGAATCAGTGGACTCATGGTCGCTGGAGTCTACAATGCGTGCAGCGGACTTAGTAGGCCTCGCACGTTTCTTGGGTTTAGGTGCCTTTGTGGGTTTCTCGACTGCTGCTTAGGGGGGGTCCGACTCATCCGATAGATCGCTGAACTCGATCGGCGCCTGGTCGGCTTGGGTCAGTGCCAGGCGCTCGGCCTCCAGATCAGCCACGATCTTCTTAGTGTCCCGGTACTGCTGCTTAAGCCGGGCCTCCTGGTCTTTATTGGAGGCGGTGCGCGGGAGGTTCTACCATTCCTGCTTTAATCGGGCAGTAAGGTCTTTCCCTTCCTCGAGTTCTTTATTCACCACCGCTAGATCCCGCTTAGGCCGCTTCTGCGGCGGGGGTGACATGGAAGTCGAGCCTAGTCTCTTCTTTCTCACCATGGTTGGAGCGGCCTACCGGTAGATCTGAAGAAGGTTAGTTAAGTGGTCTATGGAATGAATCCATCGGGCTTGCGGTTTAGGTAGGAGATAGGTAAAACGGTCTATGGAATGGATCCACTGAGCTTAGGGACATGGGCAGAGAAGAGCTAAGTGGTTCATGGAATGAATCCACTGAGCTTAGGGACATGGGCAGAGGAGAGCTAAGTAGTTCATGGAATGGATCCACTGAGCTTAGGGACATAGACAGAGGAGAGCTAAGTGGTTCATAGAATGAATCTACTGGGCTTAGGGGCATGGGTAGAAGAGAGGTAAGTGGTTCATGGAATGGATCCAATGGTGGATCGCTCACCTCTCGCTCAGATTTGAATCTGCTTTCACCCGAAGATTGGCTCGCCGACGTGGATCCGGCCTCGCGAGGCGAAAAAGAGTGTGACGATCGGGCCAAGGAGAGGGAGAGTTGGAGTTGGATTGTCTTGATGAAATGGAACAAATTTCGGCGTGAAACGGGTCGGTTTGGACAAATTCAACAACGATGGCGTTGATAAAAGTGATTGAGAAGGAAGATAAGTGTGAAAATGAACGAGAGAGCAACAACAACAGAACTCGCCAAGGAGGGTGCACTTGACTATCAATGTGAGGAAAGAGTGAATTCTACTAGACCTCTTAGAATTCATTGGATCCATTCCATAGATCACTTCGTCAGTATTCAGCCTTCGGCGGTCCGATGGATTCATTCCAGAGACCACCAACATGCGAAGTCTCTCTGCTGATCAAGATGGGTTGGATTGGGGACTAGCTATATATATCTCCCCCTGCGCCTCGAGACAATGTAGTCGGTAAACATGGTGTAATGGGAGAAGTTTGAAGTGGTGGATAGCGTTATGATTGGCTGGGGCGCCGACCCTAGACTATGGTTCTTCTTACATAGTCCTGGGGGACTATCCTTCATAGAATGCACAATCAACTAAGTTATCAACAGAGAGGACTTCCCCTAGTTGAGTGTGCGTGTTGGGAAGAGGCTATACCCACCGCCGTACGAGTTAATACCCATGGCTAGTAGCCTCGCCCCAGTTCAATGGCAGTATCGACACTTTACGCTTAAGGCGGAGGATGTATGAATGCACGACAAGAATATATAGAATAGCTAGAATCTTTCTAGTACAAGAGATGGTGACCTCGACCTCCGAAGTCGATAGCGGTAGGTTTAGCACTAACCCTTTTCGGTATACCGGTGGGCCTAGACACGGTTAGTATGGATTTCCATATGCCAAGCCCACTACATAATTCCCACGACACCTCTACTCGAAGATCCCATGTTTTAAGGGAACGAGGCCATTATATGAGTGGTGTAAACGGATATATTGAATGATCCTGGTTTTATCTTAGTTGAGCGGTCCTTTCTCGGCCAAGGCGTAGATGCTATGAGGGCTATAGGGGCCATCACGCAGGACACGAAGGTGACGTGCTAAAGTAGTCTCTGGAATGGATCCAATCCGTGAACCATGACATTCATGCATTGGATCCAATCCATAGACCACTTCATTTCCTTTCTAGTCCCTATACTATTAGTGATTAATGGTATCTATGTGCGCGCAGCCTCTCAATACTCTGCCCTTTAGTTCCGCCACCGACGTCTATGTATTATTACACGGGGCTTTCCTCAAGACTGTCTCTCGCCTGGTCAATGCGACGTTGCTGTGTCGCGATCCACTCGGCCCACTGTTCGGGCGACCATGAAATCCACTCGGGAAGGTCAGCGGGCCACCCGGCACGATAGCGATGGTTCATCTATTTATTCCGGAAGCCGAGCCACTGCCACGCCCTAAGGGGGACTCGGTGTAAATGCTCGGGGAGAGGTACTTCGTCGACCTCGTGGCGATTAACGTCTATGGCGTACCACATCCGTCCTATGTTTTTTGTTTTTTGGGTTAAACCATGCCGGTGAGGGTATGGCAGAAGCCAATGCCATTTAAAGAGATACCGCGCGTGGATACGCAGGAAATATCTGCGATGTTCAATTCGGTCGAATGGCGCATGTGTCAAGCGATTGTACGTACGGCGATAAAGCGTACGGTAGGGTTTTTGGTCCTAATGCTGACGCACAAACTGGTCGTCCCAATTAAAGAGGTACTCGACGAGGCTAAGCGGTTCTTTAAAATCGGACTTGTTGCCGGTCACTGTGTGGATACGCCGGTCCAACATAATCTGACGGAAATATTGATAGTAGAAGGGCTGGGGGTTTCGGAGTGCCTCTTCCACGTGCTCGGGCTTAATTTCGCGCTCGACCGAGCGCAAGGTGTCGATCCGAAACTGCTCGAGGCAGATGTGCGCCATCCACTGTAGGAGACGCCTCGCCACGGGGGTATGGCGTACGTTCTCTTCGAGGAGGCGAAGGGCGAGGTCTAGTCGCCGTTCGTGGTCAAAGAAGTCTCGTACCGATCCCCCCCGGCGTAGGTACACCCCCTATAGAGCCCGATTACTAAACGAGACTAGGTCAGTGATATTAGCATAAAACTCCAATCGGGTCCAATCGATGCGAGGTTCCACCCAACAGTACCCGTAGCGAGGGAGGGTGTTGCAAAATCCCAGGCCAATCTAACTGCGACGGCGAGGGATCACTCCCTCCGCCGCTGCCGCGTCCCCTCGTAGTTCTTCTTCTGGAAGGTCACGCCGACTATACTAGAGAGCGGGTTCCCGCGAGAGTTGCCGAGCGCCTAGGGCAAAGCGGAGACAGCGAAGAAACATGGCCATCATCTTAGTCTGCTCCCAGGTTATCGCCTCTGGGGTCGCTCGGGCGTGAACGACTTCAAATCCTAACGCGAAGCGATTGACGTGGTGACGAAGGAACTAGAAGTATGTCTGGGTGGGGATGGTCTAAACATACGGGGGGTGACCCTAGATAGAACGAACCGGTGCCGATGGAGGCTGTTGCGTGCGCAGGGTGTTCATCATGGCGACGGCACACTCATAGGTAATGCGAGCCTCCTGGCGAATACCATAGCTCTTCCGCCGATTATTATGGAGAGTAATTCGTATTCGGTACCGACTCTAGGTATAGGCCCGGCGTAAGACTCGCCTCTCTCGAGGACGGCCCCCGGCCACGGCGCGCGCTGTTCTACTCACTAAGGGGTCCACCGCCAGCTCTTCCATCGCGTCGTGGTCAAAAGGCATTCGTTTATTGACATCGAATACCTCCTTCACCGAATTGTAGTTCTGGATGTATCGGACACCTCCGCGATAAAGGCGCGACCGTTTTGGCGGGACACTGGTGACCGAGACGGCGTCACGGAGCATGGACTGTATGTAGAAGCGGGCTCCGGCGCCATGGTGCGACGGCGTCCTCTGTTCTTCCTGGTAGAGCCAGTCGATGTAGGATTCGAGACAACAACGTCGCCAGAGATAGGTGGTGGGTACGTCGGGTGTCTGAGAGTCGGTGGGCGGGCGAGGGACGCAAATCTCCTGCCCCAAGTCGAGGTAGAACCGATCTTGATCGATGTATTCCCACCGTAGAACTCTTTGGATCCAGTCATGCCACTGTTGAAGCGCGTCGAGAACGGTGGTGGTCGAGTCACTCTGGGTCTTAAATGCTAGCTTAGTTCCTTTAGCGCAAAAGAAGATCTGGGGGTCACGGAAATCCTGTAATCCTTCCTGTGTCTCGATTCGGTCGACGATGGCGCTCCACAGTGGCTGGAGGAGGTGTGGCTAAAGGGTATAGTGGATCGTCTGGGCACTCTGGTAGCTCGTGGTGGTCGCTTGACGGCCCTCGATCTGCGCCGCTACGGAGTTTGCCTGCGCTTGACGGAGTGACGCGGGAAGATGTTGTAGTATATGGGAGGGTGCGATTGACTCGAGGGCTGGGAGAAAGATTCGGTTAAACCATCGTTTTAGTTGGTGCTGTGTTAGACCGATAAAGCGACCATCGACCGGGATGTAGGGAAAGAGAAAGTACACCTCGATGTCCCGAGCGCCGAAAAGTCGAGCGGCGAAGAAGTGAGGAATGTCGCGTAAGAGGGTCTGAATAGCGCGAGGACGTACTGACTCATGGTCTTCCTGGCTAAGTTCATAATGATTCTCTTGCGTCGATGGCTCATGATATGTTGTAGTCGTGATATGGACATCAGCCGTCATGTTTTTCCGGACCTGAGGCGCGAGCTCGACATTTAATCCTTCACGGGCAAAGGCGAGGGATGTAGCAAAGCCCAGAAAACTATCAACATTAGAGGATATCTCAGGGTCCGTCGGTGGAGTTATATGCGTATGAAGACAGACATAACGTGGGTAGGGATGATCGATACTCGTACCACATATTGTTTCTTCCCATTGTGCTGCCGAAGGAGCAAAATCCGCTCTAGCTTGATCTGGTGTTAGTAGTTGATCGACATCGTGATCTGGCCGTAATACGGAGGGAAAGTTAGCTCGTGGGAAGCACGAGGAGAGGTCGTGATGCGCCTGGTCTCCCACTAGATCCTCATGCTCTTGTTTAAGGCGAATATGCTTCTCGGGCGTACAGCCGTAATGACCGTCTAAATGATACTGAGAGAGGAGCTTCTGTACCGTAAATGGAACCCAGTCTTGATTATCATCATCTCTCTCACTGTCTTCACTATTATAGTGTAGACTATCCTCCTCTTCATCTTCCTCCTCTTCATCTTCCTCCTCTTCATCTTCCTCCTCTTCATCTTCCTCCTCTTCATCTTCCTCCTCTTCATCTTCCTTCTCTTCATCTTCCTCCTCTTCATCTTCCTCCTCTTTCTCCGTCGATTCTAGTACCTCGATATTATCGGAATTAGTTAGATTAATAGGAATATTAGAGCTAGAGATGTAGTTAAAATCATTTAGATCGTTAGAATCGTAGGGAATATTCGGCGTCGCTATTCTAGTAGAGTGAAGAGGAGAGAAGGTTTCGATAGGCGTATATATTGACATTGAGGATGTCGTTGGAAGACGAGATATTTGCATAGAGAGAGCCCTCTCGGAAGAAGTGTGACTTAATATATCGACCCGAGAAGTAGTCTCTACGACTGATCTTTTAATGTCATAATTCTTCTCATCACGATTATTATTCTGGTCGAATCGGAATTGTGATATAGAATCTTTATTACTCCGAGAATGTGGAGGAAGCTGAGTAGTTGATCGGTGAACGTAAGGAAGTGCGGAGGGTGTAGAGGTAATGGAGACGGGGGAGAGATGACTTGACGATTGTGGCCCGCCAGATTGTGGGCGAGGAGAGACAAAATAGTGATGAATCTGCCGTTGATGAAGAGAAGGTGTCTGCGGCCGACGACATGGTGTAGCGAGGGGATTCTGAATTCGTTGATGGCCTTGGCCTTTCTCTTGACTTCGAAAAAGAGGTGGTTGAGGTAGTGTAGCTCTTTGTCTAGTATTATTAAGAGATAAACGTTATAGTATAGGGATAATATTACCTATGAGAAGGGTGAGGTTGACGTAGCTGACTAGAATTAGTATAGAGTGTATGATGCTCATTGATATTAAGGGCAGTGAGTTGTCGTGTGGCATCTTCGACGTCACGAATAAAGTCATAACTCTCTAGTCGTAATCCTACGGCCGGGGAGGTTGGCTCAGGTTCTGGAAACTCAAATGGTTGCTCAACGAGAGACTCAATACGTCGTTGATTAGGTGCTTGATGCACTTGAGCTTTCTCTTACTGTCGTCGTTGTCGAAGTCTTCGCTGTCGAAGGCGATCTTGTTCTCGTTTACGCTGAATGGAAGGATCTATAGTGTCATCTGTCGATAGTGGTCTACCACGTTTAAGGGCTCGAGAAGGCTCCATCACTAAGAGATCTTCTGCTAGAATAATAAGTCTTCGAGATATAGTATTTTAGAACTGAAGCGGTGAAGAGATATATTATTATTCGGCTAAGTTACTAAAGCCAGAATCTATAAAGAGACTAGCGTTACTATAGACGAGCCAATGAATGAATTGTCACGCTGTAGACGAGCCAATGAATGAATTGTCACGCTGCTTAATATAGACCCACCTAAATAATTCTTGGCAAAGAACATCAAAAATTTCTCATTATACTTAATTTTTAAATCTTAATATCTTAGTAACGAGATGAGATATTAAGATGGGGTAAACGGGAGTCGATAGTAAATTAATAGAATTATATTTTTATATATTAATATTATTAAAAAATCTCTATAAATAGCTTAACTTTAATAGATAAAAGACGTATGGAGTGACGAAGGAACTAAAAGTATATTTAGATGAGAATAATCTAATTATACGGGGAATAACTCTAGATAGAACGAACCGGTGTCGATAAAGGCTATTACGTACGTAGAGTGTTTATTATAACGACGATATACTTATAGATAATGTAAGCCTTCTAGCGAATATTATAGCTCTTCCGTCGATTATTATAGAGAGTAATTCGTATTTAATATCGACTTTAGATATAGGCTCGGCGTAAGACTCGTCTCTCTCGAGAACGGCCTCTAGCCACGGCGCGCGCTATTCTACTCACTAAGGGGTTTATCGCTAGCTCTTTCATCGCGTCGTAATTAAAAGATATTCGTTTATTAATATCGAACACCTTCTTCACCGAATTATAGTTCTAGATATATCGGACACCTTCGCGATAAAGGCGCGACCATTTTAACGGGACACTAGTGACTAAGACGGCGTTACGGAGTATAGACTATATATAGAAGCGGGCTTCGACGTTATAGTACGACGACGTTCTCTATTCTTTTTAGTAGAGCTAGTCGATGTAGAATTCGAGATAATAACGTCGCTAGAGATAGATAGTAAGTACGTTAAGTATCTAAGAGTCGGTGAGCGAGCGAGAGACGTAAATCTTTTACTCTAAGTTAAGATAGAACCGATCTTAATTAATATATTTTCATCGTAGAACTCTTTAAATCTAGTTATATTATTATTAAAGCGCGTTAAGAACGGTAATAATTAAGTTACTCTAAATCTTAAATACTAGCTTAGTTTCTTTAGCGTAAAAGAAGATCTAGAAGTTACGGAAATTCTATAATTCTTTCTATATCTCGATTTAGTCGACGATGACGCTTTATAGTAGCTAAAGAAGATATAACTAAAGAGTATAGTAGATCGTCTAGGTACTCTAGTAGCTCGTAGTGATCGCTTAACGACCCTCGATCTACGCCGCTACGGAGTTTATCTACGCTTAACGAAGTGACGCGGAAAGATATTATAGTATATAGGAGGGTGCGATTAACTCGAGAGCTAAAAGAAAGATTCGATTAAATTATCGTTTTAGTTAGTACTATATTAGATCGATAAAGCGATCATCGATCGGGATATAGAGAAAGAGAAAGTATATCTCGATATTCTAAGCGTCGAAAAGTCGAGCGGCGAAGAAGTAAGAAATATTACGTAAGAGAGTCTAAATAGCGCGAGAACGTACTAACTTATAATCTTCCTAGCTAAGTTTATAATAATTCTCTTATGTCGATAACTTATAATATATTATAGTCGTAATATAGATATTAGCCGTTATATTTTTCCGAATCTAAGGCGCGAGCTCGATATTTAATCTTTTACGGGTAAAGACGAGAAATATAGTAAAGCCTAGAAAACTATTAACATTAAAGAATATCTTAGAGTCCGTCGATGAAGTTATATACGTATAAAGATAAATATAACGTAGATAGAGATAATCGATACTTATACTATATATTATTTCTTCTCATTATACTATCGAAGAAGTAAAATTCGCCCTAGCTTAATTTAGTGTTAGTAATTAATCGATATCGTGATTTAGCCGTAATATAAAGAGAAAGTTAACTCGTAAGAAGTACGAGAAGAGATCGTAATACGCCTAGTCTTTCACTAGATTCTTATACTCTTATTTAAGATAAATATACTTCTCGAGCGTATAGCCGTAATAATCGTCTAAATAATACTAAGAGAGGAGCTTCTATATCGTAAATAAAATTTAGTCTTAATTATTATTATCTCTCTTACTATCTTCACTATTATAGTGTAGATTATTCTTCTCTTTATCTTTCTTCTCTTTATCTTTCTTCTCTTTATCTTTCTTTTCTTTATCTTTCTTCTCTTTATCTTTCTTCTCTTTATCTTTCTTCTTTTTCTTCGTCGATTCTAGTATCTCGATATTATCGAAATTAGTTAGATTAATAAAAATATTAAAGCTAAAGATATAGTTAAAATTATTTAGATCGTTAGAATTATAGAGAATATTCGGCGTCGCTATTCTAATAGAGTAAAGAGAAGAGAAGATTTTAATAGGCGTATATATTAATATTAAGAATATCGTTAAAAGACGAGATATTTATATAGAGAGAGCTCTCTTAGAAGAAGTGTAACTTAATATATCGATTCGAGAAATAGTCTCTACGACTAATCTTTTAATATTATAATTCTTCTTATTACGATTATTATTCTAGTCGAATCGGAATTATAATATAGAATCTTTATTACTCCGAGAATATAGAGAAAGCTAAGTAGTTAATCGGTGAACGTAAGGAAGTACGGAGAATATAGAGATAATAGAGACGAGAGAGAGATAACTTAACGATTATAATTCGCTAGATTATAGGCGAGGAGAGATAAAATAGTGATGAATCTATCGTTAATGAAGAGAAGATATCTACGGCCGACGATATAGTGTAGCGAGGGAATTCTAAATTCGTTAATAGTCTTAACCTTTCTCTTAACTTTAAAAAAGAGATGATTAAGATAGTATAGCTCTTTATTTAGTATTATTAAGAGATAAACGTTATAGTATAGAGATAATATTATCTATAAGAAAGATAAGATTAACGTAGCTAACTAGAATTAGTATAGAGTGTATAATACTTATTAATATTAAGAATAGTAAGTTATCGTATAATATCTTCGACGTTACGAATAAAGTTATAACTCTCTAGTCGTAATTCTACGGTCGGGGAGGTTAGCTTAGATTCTAGAAACTTAAATAGTTACTTAATGAGAGACTTAATACGTCGTTAATTAGATACTTAATATACTTAAGCTTTCTCTTACTATCGTCGTTATCGAAGTCTTCGCTATCGAAGACGATCTTATTCTCGTTTACGCTAAATAGAAGAATCTATAGTATTATTTATCGATAGTGATCTACTACGTTTAAGGGCTCGAGAAGACTTCATCACTAAGAGATCTTCTACTAGAATAATAAGTCTTCGAGATATAGTATTTTAGAACTAAAGCGGTGAAGAGATATATTATTATTTAACTAAGTTACTAAAGTTAGAATCTATAAAGAGACTAGCGTTACTATAGACGAGCTAATAAATAAATTATTACGCTATAGATAAGCTAATAAATAAATTATTACGCTATAGACGAGCTAATGAATAAATTATTACGCTATAGATGAGCTAATAAATGAATTATTACGCTATAGACGAGCTAATGAA